CTGAGGGCGGCGAGGCGAGTGCGCGGAGCGCTGGGCAGGGTGCTCAGCCCTGATGGCCGCTGCCCCCGGGGGTGGGCGGCCGCGCCTCGCCCGGGCCATTAAGGCCCCTTAAGGGCTCAATGGAGGCATCGCAGCTCGCTCGTTAACGAGAGGGGGCCGCTGGCCGGGCTCGGGGGATCGGCTGGTGGTTTCGGGGGAAGCCAAGTGCCTGCAAAAAAAGCCGCACTTGTGAAAGTCTTATTCTTTAAATTTACTTTTTAAAAGGCTGTGATTTGGGCATTGCTGATCCCAGGTGCTGTTTCTTGTCCTCGAGGGCCCCAGCAATAAAACGTACATTTGAAAGTGAGCATCCGCCTCCCTTTCTTCCAGCCTCGCAGCCCAGAGGATTCCCCCTGTGGACCCGGGTATCAGGCTGGACTCGGCCTGGCCGGGCTGCAGGACCGAGCCTGCGCCTACACTAGTCTCTGACTCCGGCCCTGCAGCTGCCCAGAGGGAGGCTTCAGGGACATAGTTTGGATTTCTGCTAGTGCCGAGCGGTGAGAACTTCGAAATAATAAGAGGTGGGGGGAGGTATATGCATACTGAAAAGCTATTTTTAAAGGCTTAGATAATGGCCAAACCGAACCAGCTTTCAGTAAGTTGCCTCCCCCCCTTCTTTAGTTGATGGAGTTCCACCTACCCGTGAAGAACTACACTCCCAAGCATCTTGCAGACTAGCCCTTTTTAAGGCAGTCTGGCAATTTAGTGAGGAGCAATTAGACATTCCTGATGGTTCACGCAGCTGTGCCTGTTCTGTTTGTGCCACATGGCCCCATGTTCGGGAGGTAGGTTATGGAGCAGGTAGGAATATCTTCTAGCTCCTCTGCTTAGGCACACTGTATTTAGACAGGAGTACTTGCACTTGAGCAAGTATGTGGGCACTGACCTTTTGGTGCTCTAAAGCTGAAGTTTCTAGGGCACTTGGCCATGTGGCTCTTCAGCTCCAGACTCCCTGCTACTGGTCACTTGTTCCAGCCTCCAGCTATTGTAGCCACATGTTTGAAAAAAAAATTGGATCGTTATTATTACTGTTTTTTTTCACCAGGAGACAAGCTTACAGGTCCAGTTTACCACATGAGATTCAGAGGACTGATGGAGGAAAATGAGCAGCAGCGATAGGTTAATCAGACCAGTGTAAAGAGCACTATTGCTACAACCAGCTTTGATTTTCAAAACTCTCTGTCTTCTAAGGGCTGTAGGTACCTCAGCTCATGGCTAACAGCAGTGCTGGATGAAGTAAAATCCATTGCCCTACCTGCCTAAGTGCATGAAAAAAGACTAGTAAGATATGAGAAATCATCACTAGTCAGCTCTGCTTCCACTCCACTGCTTCTTCCTGTGCTTATCCTCACAAACCTTACCCTGCCCTTGGGCCTCTTCATTTACTTGTATCCTCCTTAGACCTATACCTCCATTTTTACTCTCCTGGTGCTGCTTCCAGACATTAATGTCTGGAAACACATAGCTAGGGTTCCCAAACAACCTTAACTCTGCCCTAGAGACAAAGATTTATGAAAAAATCCTCTCTGTTTAATATAAGCTGGGACCACAAACAACGAAATGCCTCAATCATAGTAGTGCAACTGCAGAAATTCCAGTCTACAGTTCGCCAAACATAACCCACTGAGTGCTGTGTTCTTTTATTTTCATATTTCTGATTAGGCAAACAACATAATGAAAGCCTCGCTCCCTAATCTTTCGTAAGACTGTATGACTCACCACTTATGTAAGCCTTATGCAGGAGTTGGTCATAGCTCCGCTGATGATACTACATACTGGTTTGCAATTAGTGCAAGGCTTCAACCTCCCTGTTCTGTACAATAAAAATAGGCTCTCTCAACTTACTTGTTGTAAGCAGTGTGGCTTTGGGAGCCCAGGAAAAGCAGGGAATCTGTAGGGAACTATGACATATAGTTAACAACTTAAAATTTTAGGTGGATTCTCTAAAGAGTTCAGCATTGGCATTTCTTTTCCTTCTCCATCTCTCAAACGACTGAACAAACAGCTTGCAGGGTCTGAAGAGTTCAAAATCATCTAGCTTTAGGGTATAGTTTATGGGTGAGAACAGTGGGATTTATTATGTGGCCTGCCACATCATCTTTGATGCTATTACAATTAATATGAGACAGCAATATTTAAAAAGCATGGTTATTGCATGGTATCAGTAGTGGAAAGAGCAAAGTTTAGTTGGGAGCCTTCACTGTGCATTTCAGAACCTTAGCAAGTTTGGACTTAAATGCAAGTCCAACCCTGCCATTCAGAAAAGAAGAATTCAGCTCAGAATATACTCTCTTCTCCTATTAATTTCATGTTTTTCATGACATTTCAAACAATAAAAACCTAGGGGATAGAGCTTCTTTCTCAATACAGCTGCCTGACACTTCTCCATACATTCTCTGTGCAGGTTCTGCACAGTTTAATGTATGGAGTTTAGTGACTCACATCATCTCTTCTTTCTGGAGAGGAAAAAAAAAAAAAAGTACCTTTCTGCTCCCTGAACGCTGAAACGATGTGCTGCAGTCTTCACTGTGGCTTCTCAGTGAACACAAGGCATTTCACTCACTTTATAGCACCTTAGACCCATTTAAAAAGGAAAAGAGGAATGACCCTTGCATTAAAGATGTCAGACTTCTCTTTACTTTTAATGATATTAGAGGCAACAAAACTTCTGCTGGTGATTCTGGCTAAGAATTACTAAGGAAAGCTTTATCTTCTAAGTCTCAGCTGAAGGAACAGGGCTGTACCACGAGAAATATGTGAAGTAGGAGTGTTGACGTCACCCCAGAGCCTAGAATAGCTGTCCCTTGAGGGCTGGGTAGATGGAGAGCGCCACTGAGTTAGTAAGCGTATATTCAGCATTTAGCCTGAATGTTGGAAGAGGGAAATTATAAATGGCCCTAAGTAGCAGAGAATGTTTTTACCATGTATCTAATATATAAATACCTTTCCCAGAGGAAACAAACTCCCAAGTGCAGACTTGCCAGCACATCCTGACTCCAAGACATGTGTCCTACTCAGGCCCTTCAAAAACTGGCCTCTCAGCAATTTTGTGCGATAGCTTTGTGTAAACTACAGTTGCTGAATTAATGATCTAGACACTAAGATGTCATATTATCTCTTTTTTTCCAAGCAGGACTTTTGTACTGTGATAATCATTTCCTGAAACATTTCCAAAGGACTTGAAAGATTTCTTGCCTTCCCCGAAAGACTATCCATCAGATGGGAAGACCAATGCAGCAGGCAGTATAGTACCACATCTTAAGTCACCCAGAGGTTTATAGCAGGACAATACAGATCTCCCTGCTCCTGAGACACCAAACAGGTAGATTACTCCACATTTTAAACTATCTCAGTGACTATTATTCCTTCCTAATTTTTCTGGATGGTTTAAATAATTTCTTGACCCATATACTCGGAGTAAGCAAAGTTTGAATAAACCTGCTACAGGGTCTCTTCACATCTAATATTTTGATCATCTTTACGTATCTTTTCAGAAAGCACAGCCACCTCCAACACAAGAGACACTGCATCATCCTTCCTTGCTGAACCACTGAGATATGGCTGTTCCTCAACACCTCTTCCCTTTAAGAGAAAACTGCTTAAACTGTTTCGATTTGATGTAGAATCAGAGCAGTATGCAAAAATAACGCAGGTCTGGTATATCCCACCAATTTTATTATTCATCTACCCAGTTCCTCCTAAAAATAGAATTATTTTATGTTGAAGAAAAGTGTTATTCTTTTGAAAGAACACTAGTCAAGTTATTGTTTTCTCTGAGACTGTTTTGTCAAATTAATTGCTTAAATTGCTGCTTCCTGTGACAGCTTTCCTTAAGGATACATACTGTAACAATAACTAGAAAAAGCAGCGTGAAAGTTATGTGATGCCTGCCAGGATATCTTTGTCACTGAGAAAGTATGGTGTATCATTATATGTGGATTTTTTTAAAAATAGATGTCAATATGTAACTTTTTAAATCCCTACCAATGCTGTTACGAGGATTCTCTTCTCATTTTCACGCTGTTTACTGAATAGATTTTGTGTATCTGCTCAGTCTCGGCAAATGCAAAATATTCTCCCTCTGTGAAGTGCTTTTCCCTTACATACTGGTGATGGGGCATTATGGTTCCTGGCAGTATTCATTCACTACCAAACTAGGTTAATTGGTAGATGAGAAAAGTCCTGATTCAATTGTAGACTAACATCAGTATAACCAAGTGCACTTCATATGTAACTTTAGCTGGGGAATCAAGACACAAAGGTCTCTTCAGATGACTACTGAAATCATTGCCACTGCCTATCTCCATGATTTCTGAAAAGCTCATCTCAAACTGTATCTTGTGTTCAGCCAAAAATGGAGCCCACGAGATCTCTCTCTGAAAATCAACCAAAAACCTGTGCAACAGACTATCCCTTTTCAGGAGCGTACTCACCTCTAATTGTCCTTTCCATACAGCAGTACGAATAAGCACACAGAAACTGGAGGAAGGCTAATGTTCTGTGGCTGTTTCAATCACATACGTGCAGCATCCCAGATTACATCCTTTTTGGCTCTGATGAAGGCTAGTATTGGAAGGCTAGGTCCTCGAGGAACAGCATCAGCCATCAGTGGAGCTGCATTTACAACAGCTGAGGAACTGGAAAAGTCTTAGTCCTAATGACTCAGTAGCTCAAAGAAGGAAAGAATCCCATCAAGTCCTTCTGAAAGTCTTGTCCCTTCTGTTGTAGCTTCTTGAAAAGCAGAGG